CTCGAATTTTTTCGGCACTTCGTTCAAAGTGACACTCTTAACCTGAATTGATACTCTGTTTTTATTACTTTTCCTCTTTTGCTCAGTGCCGCCTTTTAACTTTAGGTTAAGTATTTTTGGATCAGTCTACTCTCTTTCTGATAGATTTTCGCATCTTTGAACTAAACTTATTGCTTTTTTTGCAAAATGTTGCATCTTTTTACAAAATTTTGTTCGTTTCTGGTTGATTTTTGTGCTGCCCCGAATACTGTTTGACTTAAATTCGTGCTTCTTTCCTCCCACACAAGTGGTTTTTGAACTCTGTCTTTTTGTGGATGTGCAACTCTTTCAATGATTGTTTTTCTTTTTGGCCCGAAAAAAAAAACCAATACGAACAAAAAATAAATGTTCAGCCATTAAAACATTGAACACATCCATTCATCTACCGGAAAAAAGTCTTCCGCTTGCGCTTTCTATGAAAATTACCGTCTGAATCAATCTTACAATCACTCGTTGAGTTAGTTCTCCCATTGAAACTCCGAAGCAGCCTTGCCCCCCGCCTTCGTTTTCTCCTCCCCCGCTCTGGTTTTCCCATCCCCTTCCTCGTTTCTTCTTTTTCTACCTCCTCTACCCTCGCCCAATTTTCCTTTTTTGCGTTTCATTAAAATGGCCACCACAAAGTATTGTGCCGCAATCTTCGTTTGCGTGTTTTATGATTGTTGCAGTGCCCAGAGCAATTAATCAAGCATCCCTTTTCCATCGTTAAAATATTCTTCAATCCAATTGATTTTCTCGGTCTCGAAGTGATTCGAAAAATTCAGGCTAGGGACAAGTTCGCAAGGCTGGGCAACACCTGGCCTAGGCCAGTTATTTTGGGAAGGGGGCACACTTTTCATCTGGCTAGACCCGATTTCTAGCGAGGGCATGCCGTTCTGCGCGGCGGGGCTATGGTGTTAGATGAGGAGCTACAATCTACGTAATTGAGCTAATGCTTTGGCCAGAGGAAATGAGGGGCTACTCCAGGATGATACAGCTGCAAAATTTTTGAAAATCTATTTAGGGCGAAGCTTAATTCCCTGTGGTTTACTTATATTTCAACGAAAAGTCGAATAGTTTACTTTTTTTTTGAAACCTCTCAGCTGAAAATGATGGTTCTAGCTAAAATGATCCTTCTGTGATTGAGATTCTTTATTTGTCATATTCTGGGATGCTTATAAGAATTTGGGCGCAGCTAGTCTTTCAGTCCGAGACTGCATACCTCCAGTTAGTACCCAGTGTCTGCTCGATTTGTGTGCGCCACGTGTCGAAATCGGGCCGAGTGGTCGTTTATAGCCACTTACTTTAATAAGCGGCGTCTACCAGTTATCGGCAGTATTGAGCAAGCAGCATTTTCTCTGCCCATCGCTTTTCATCCCAAGTTGTACACCTGCATTTCGTGCCTACCGCCTATTTTTGTCCCTGTTTGTTTAAAAGGACTTTTTTTAGCTTTTTATTTTGCTAAATTTAGCATCTCTCTGGGCTTAGCAATTTAGCATTTGCTTTCAACGCAATTTATCACTTGCCAGCCGGTTTTTATAATTTTTTGGTTCAGTTTTGCCTCGTTTTCATTCATTTTTTTTTTTTTTTTTGGCTAACTTTTATGAAGCTGTTTAGTTTTATTTTTCTCGTATCCTTACTTTCAGTGCCTGGCAAAATTTCGTTTGGCACATGAAAACATCCCAATAACATTGCTAACACGGCATACTTGCACCGATTTTTCGGGCGATCTTGATATTTTCTACACGTACAAGCTTGCGCTGTACTGTTTTAAAACTACTTAGGCACCATTCAATAATTCGCATTGTTCACCTGTTGCCTCTAATTCTCGGTATATCAAAAGTCCGGCTTATTTTAGACATAAAAAGGATGTTAAATCATTTAGCAGAAAAGTATCAGCTGAAGGACCACTGCTTTATAAAACTTCTGAAAAGTTATTACGAAAATGCTTAAGCGCTTGGAAAAATATAAAATACCTCTTTTTTTTTTACTTATTAAAATTATACGTATCAGGCTGTAGTGGTGTGGCGGCGTATCCGGATGGATTACTGGAGAACGAGCTCTCGTTATCTGTGATATTGCATTAGTATCAGATTTTTAATCTTTGGAAAAAAAACAGTATTCATTTATAATGGATGGTGCCTGACTACTAACTGGGAACAGCTGGTCTTGGTAATAATTTTTGGTATGGTTCGGGGCGGCCTGAAAAACAAACATCGCGGTATCATCATCGAGGGCTTCACATTAATAATCCGGCGATCTCTGTGAACACAGATTCATAGAATTTTGCACTAGTTTTCATCATTTTATAGATGTGTGTGTGTGTGTGTGCGTGTATATATGTGCATTATTTTATGTGTGTATGTATGTACGTGTGTGTGTGTGCGTGTGCGTTGTTTTTCCTCGTTCTTTCATTCGAAAATTGTAGCATTTTAATTGAAATTTAAAAGGGAACATTAGAGGAGAGTTTTTGTCTCAGAAATCTTTTTCTCTTCTGTTGTTTTTTTAGGGGAAATTGCGTTCTCGTTTTTGCTCAAAATTTTACATTAACCCACTAATTGTGCCACTTTCTTCGTGTCTCTCGGCCCCAATATTCGCGTCATTCCTTGTCATTTCAATGGATGACGATAACGACATTGAGAAGTTCTGTCTGTTTATACATGTATGCATTTGTGTTTGTACATGAATGTATAAGGAAGCATTTGTATATGTATGTGTGTATGCATGTATCTGTGGTATATGTGTGTTCTGTATGTGTGTGTGTGTGGTGTGTACACATACTTCTGTGTGTGTGTGTTTGTCCGTTCGCCTGGTACTGGGAAGTGACTGGTGCAGAAAAGGACATCATTTTTGTTGTTTGACAACACTTTGAAATTTTGCCATTTTCACTTTGTCTTCTGAAGTTTCCCAAAAAAAAAGTCTATCAAAATGTGATATTTAGGCTAATTACATGGAATAATTTCGATGATCTCTGTGTTCGCCTTTGCCCCCTCCGTCCTTCTTCCTCCTTACTCTCCCTCTCCCTCCCCCTCCCCTCCTTCCCCGCTTTGTAAGTTTTTGGGAAACTTACCCCCTCTCCTCCCTCGGTCCCTTTCCTATTGTTCCTATGAGGATTAAATTTCTGAAATTGCTTTTCAGTACTTCTCTCGTAAATTTTTCTATTTTTTTTTTTTTTTAATTTTAGTTTAGGGAGAATTCCAAATCCGACACGATTAACTGGCAGTGTTTCTTAAAAAATTGTGCTTCTGCCTTTCGATGTAGGGTCTTTAGGAAATTTTCTTCTACTGTGGCTTTCTGGCCAAAATCTCGAGAAATTTTATGGTTGTCTTCAAACTAGTCTTTCTATTTTTTCTTTCCAGTTCTTTAAAAATAAAGGTGCAGATTGGGCTGTGTATATTCATGCATATGTGTGTGTGTCTGTTTGTGTAACTGTTTACGTTGGCTTCTTTACACGCTTGTATGTGTGTGTATCTGTGAGCGTGTGTATCTTTGCACGTGTGTATATTTATGTGTCCCTATGTATATACATGTGTGTATGTATGTGTTTGTGTGTTTGTGTGTGTATGAGCTTGCAAGCTGAAACCAATTTTGCCTAGTGTTTCGCTATTCTTCACATTAACGTTTTAATACACCAACGAATTAGATCTGCTTAAAAAGTTCCAGATCGCGGTCCGTCTTTGGCCGCAACACAACTTGTATCGGATGTCCGTGCTGGTAGTCCGGAAGACTTTAATGATCAATTTCTTGGTCTCAAAACCAACTGAAACACGTGTACTCTCACCGTGAAGTCAGCACATCTCTGGTAACTTACTTTCCCTGCTTGTCGACTTCCTCTAGCATTTTCTAGTGTGATGATATGAGTCGCTTTTGCAGCCAAAGAAGACAAGGAGCAGCTGAAAGATTGAAAGATTTCCGGTTTCCAGCTGTCCTGGACAAGGATTAGGATCCTTGGGCACCGATCTCAGTGAGTGCGAGGCCCTTCTGCCTTTTTGTCTGCTTTCCAGCATGTCCTTAAGCTGCTTTATACACGTGAATCCATCATCTTCTGGCTTCCCACATGGATACCATTCGTCTACCAGTTGTCGGCAAGGCGAGCAGGCGTGTTGTACTTTAATTAAAATCTTTTCTCAAAAAAAATTTTTGATGAATGGTGGTAAAATTACCAGTTTTCCTACTGGCCGATACATATCCGAAATTTCATGCATTTTAAATTATTTTGCAGAGGCCTGAAAAAAATGATTTTCAGGATTAGAAATTAAACAAATTTCCTAGAGGATACATAAAATCCGGCATTTCATCCAGTTCGTCCTCAGCTGCTTTGTTAATCTTTTTTTTTTCTTCAAAGTGACTGTTAATAGCTCCTGGATAATCGAAGTGGGGATCTCGCGCTAGTGATCATACTGGGATGCAACCACACACCTTCAGGCATAGTTATGCAAGGCTCGTTTGTTCTGAGCTGGTTGCAACTGGTATTTTAATACTTGGTTTCATTGGCAAATTTCTTTTCGCTTCTGATCCCCGCTGCTTGCTGTCTTGAGCCTTTTTGATCCGCGTAATTCCACAAAGACGTTCCTCTTCGTTATTATCCGTTCTGTTCCTTCGATATTTGTTGAGTACCATTCAGTAATCCGCTTCGTCAGTTTGTTTTCATTCATTCTTGCTATATGATCAGCCCAGCTGTTACTGCCTTGATAATATCGTTTATGCTAGACAAATGCAACCCAAATTTTGATCATTGTGAAACAGCAATATGATCGGGCATCGGGCATTCTCGAGTAGTTACAAAACTGGATAAATGAGATGCGAGGGGCAAAATAAGCGCTGTTTACGTGAGAATATCGCGTACTTCTCGTTCTATTCGCTTTTGAATCTGTCGTCGCGTACTCAAGTAACTTCATGTTGCTGTTTCGTAACTTCGAGACTGTCTATTTCCAGGAGAAGAATTTCGAGCACGAGAAAGAACTAAAGCGAACAAAAAAGAAAAGCTATAAATTGTGCAGTTCATACTGTCTGGAACGAGTTAAAACAAACGAAAGAACGAAGCCAACACACTGTTGACATTGAGTGTAGTGCTTGCATCCACCGTCCTCGCCGGCGTTCGACGCTACTACTACTACTGCCCAGTTCCGGCAAATACCGAATCGCAAGATCGAACGTTTGACACCGAAGCGACTGATTCGTCGTATCATCCTCAAAGTAGCCAACTTCTAGTGATTCCACTTTCGATTGATTCCGGTGTCAGCGATAGCAGCAATAACAAATTTGAACTCGGGTAAGTCATGTAATTCATTATTATTATTATTATTTTTATTGTTATTGTTATTACTATTGTTATTGTTATTATTATTGTTACAATTGTTGTTGTTGTTGTTGTTATTATTATTATTATTATTATTATTTCATTATTGTTATTATTACTGCTATTATTGTCGTCACGATTGTTGCCGCTGATTAGGTGTTAGAGGTTACAGGAAAGACTATGACCTGTGCAAATAGAGATAAAGGTAGTAATTGAAAGGCGGCCAGAC